GTGCTGGCCGGGGGAGCCGGTCCTCGAGGCCAAGGACCGGCTCGAGGAACACATCACTGCCATTAGGCTTTAAATTGAATCATGCAAATCATATAAATGGGAAAAGATATAGGACATTTTTTCTCGAGTCAGCCGCTTAAAAATGATCATCGGTGGCAGCTTTAGGCCCGATGCTGCGCAGCTCAAAACACAGGTAAAATGTGTTCTCTCGTGGGCGCTTGTTTTCAGTATGACGGAGGAGTCACCTTTTTTATTTCCAGTCCGAGTGAGGGGCAATTCAAATGTGCAGGGGTCTTTTTGGTTGTCTTTTTACACTGGCTCAGTTCTTCTTGCCAGAGCATCCACCTTCGCACCATCGACTCGTCTATGCCAAGATTACGGGCAGCAGCTCGATTTCCTTCTTTAACTGCCAGAGTGATCGCTTTTAGTTTAAAAGCTGCATCATATGCTTTTCGTCTGGTATTCTCCATGTTGATCAGGGTTAGAAGAAAGACTGAAATAAGGAAGTTGTGATTACCGGTAATCATACAATTTCATTGGACCCCTGTGTACTACTCATTCATTTTATTGGTCGACTGTTGCCAGATAACACATTTTTCCCCGCTACGGCGAGAAGAGCGGAAGTTGTGATTAGTCATACAATCTCATTGGACCTCAGTGAACTACTCATTCATTTTATTGGTCCATGTTTTTCCCGCGATGGAAAAAAAATAATTCAAAAGCCGCTGCATATTACACGCCGCAGTGTTGAAAGTGTGGAAAAAAAGTAGCGGCTTGTAATCCGGAATGTACGGTAGATCATTTTGCTTTAAAGTAACAAATTTTCATCAGGCTGGTTGAATATGCAGTTTTTTTGTTTTTTTTTTTTGTGGTGAAAAAATAAACAATAGCCATAACAATTAATTTCTAACAAAACAATAGAGACCCCTCAGTGGTCGCTGCTCGGGCCCTAATATATACTGAAATGATTATATCGTAAATTAAATCCTGAAATGATTAGGAAATGCATGACACGTATTTATAATTTGGCACAGTTGATCCTCCATAATTAACACTATTTTCTGTGTTGTGTCAAATGTGCAAGCCATTTATTTTCACTTTACAGTGACTTAACTATTACTTGGTTCTTTCTCACATCACTCAAGTGGATCATACAGACCTAGTTGGAAATCGACCATATCGTTGTGTCGAATTTCCAGTGTTTCTTGTTTCTATTCAATGTGAGAGGTGGACATTACTGGTGCCTACTGTACATGCGTTTTCAGGGATTATTTGTTTCTTGAGATACGCTGTTTAAGTTCTGTGTCAGTAGCTTGTTCTTTTTATGCTATTCAGATATTTCAAACATTCAAGTTTGAGCTGTACTGGGTAAGAAAATGATCTGGAATAAGCGTGTTGCAGGTCATGTCCAATTTCAATTATTCGATCTTGCTAAAACTAACCTCAAACCTTTGTTGCTTTTATTAGTCGTCCAATCCACCACCTGCCAAGAAGAAGAAAGAGACTGTGGCACCAGCATCCCAGGACGCATCCATAGCAGGCCGTCAAGATGATCCGACTGGGATTCCAAAGAAAAAAACAGAGCAAGAAGTTAATAAATTAGTAGCATCATATGGCGAGATCAACAGTGTGAACTTCATGCCAAACTCTGAGAAAGAGAGCCAAAAGGGTGATGGACAAAAGGTGCTTTTGAATTGTATTTTCTACATTAACAGCTCCTTTCATAAGCTCTTACACTTACTTATTTACACTGTTTGACGTATGACTAGAAAGCTTGGCAAACACTGAGTCAATTGCGCAGAACATTACAAGAGACATTTACACATCTGCAAAAGCAGTCATTTATCAGCGTACTGATAGTTAAATGGTCATACAGTATGTCCTCACTACTATACAAATGAATTACATTATTCACTGGGGTTATGTTTACTACTAGTCCAGCATGTTTTGTTCATCAAGTCACAGGTTATAACATAACCTCTTACTGACATTTTCCTGAGTGCGACTCACACTAAGAGCTTCCAGAAGTTCATGAAACCTTCCATCAGCATTAAATAAATTTCTGATGGCGGCATAATATAGGCCAGAAATACCTTTCTATCCCTTTTATTGCATGTCTCACAAGCTTTTGTTCACTGGATTTCTACACCGGGGTTGTTTTGATCGGGGAAGGGAGAGGGGGGCCTCTCCTCCTACTCCAACACAAGTAGAAACAACGTTTTAACATCTTGCCACGCTCGTGACCGGTGCTTATTAGTTTTTTGGGCTGCTAAATGCCTTTCATGGTTGACAGCTCAACAACTGCCAACAAGTCAGTAGACTCACCGGATGTACGAACTTTCTCGTTCCAATCCCTCCACACCTGCTCCTTTTTGGTTAGTTCCCGGTCACTATTGGATGCTCACTATTTCGTCTCCATCCCAGTCCCACAGACTGATATTGATGATATTGTTCCTCATTGTTTTTATTGCATCATATCATGTTGGGGGAGGAGGTGGTCGGGGGCATGGTCTGGGATTTTATCTTAGGCCGTAGCGCCCAGCCCTAATTGCTGCATAAAGTGGACTGGTATCCAGTGCCATCTGCCCATCAGTCAGTTTTGAGCCTTCAATGTTGTACCCTTGGATCATAGTTTGCTTTATATTGTGAGGCATGAACATCTGTGGAGGTACATCTTATCTCTAGCAGTGGTCAAACAAAACAATGTTTTTTCCTCTTCAAAAATGTTATTTTTTTATTTTGATGTATTGCATCAAACTGAAACGAATTGTTCTACTTTGAAATACATTGAGATACATATTATTGGAGACGTATATATTTGAAGGGAATGTCACTATTACAGTGCTGACAAGTTCATTGAAATGTATGTAAAGTGACAACTAAAAAGTAATTGCATCATACCCTCTCGAACTGAGCTGTGCCATATGGAATCGTAATCCCACTGAGTAGATCCGAATCAAATCGTTCCACTTTCAAATCAAACTATCCTTGAATCATTTTGCACCACATGTATCAAAAAACATATTGAATTGTCCTTAGTGAAGGGATTCACACCACTAATCTCTGTAGTATAAAAAAGGTAATTGATGCAATCACAAAATTAATCTATTTCAGTTCTGTGCTTAAAAAATGTTGAATCCAGTTTGTTTTTATTTCTTGTTGGCAATTAAATTTCAGAAACATTCCTAAAGTTTTATATTTGTGAAAACATGCATTCCACTCAAAAATGCTAATTCCCTTTTTAGATACCAGAGCCACAGCATTCTTCTGTCTGCAGTAACAGGTTTGTGTTATTAAAGGCCATATTACCGCCCACATTAACAATTTTAATCTGACTCTGGCTTCTCTGAATTATTTTCTGTTTACAGTGAGCCTCCTATAAATCCAGACAAGGGTTCTGAAAAGAAATACTCTGGTAAGAAACCAGATTTGTGTTTTTTTTGTTTTTTTTTGTACTATATCTGGTTGTGTCTAGGGCTGAGCGATTTGAACCACATTTTTTTAACAAAATAATCATGCCAGCTATCTTGATATGATACAAGAGTACTATGGTTCAGTGAAAACTAAAATATAATTCAAAAGGATGTGTAACGTGCAGTTCCAGGCTACGTTGACACTGCAGGGCTTGTTGCTCACTTCAGATTTTTTGTTAAATCCCGTCTTTATGGATTCATTCACATGATGAAACCAAATGCGACTTCTAATGTGAACACTTCGCATCCGTGATGTGACGCACACGAGCACGACGGCGAGTGATATGCACCCCCCTCCCCCCAAAAAAAGTCACGTGTCGTGTTTTCGGAAGTCAATATGGTCCATGGTGTAGCATCTCATTTTGCCAGAGTAGCAAGTCGAGAGGAGCTATATATAATTTGTGGATCTGAGGTGATGTCCCTTGATCCTCCTCATTTTATGGAGACGTCTACGAAACCAGAATTACATTTATTCATATGTATATTCATAAGCATGTGAAACTGCCAACTACAAACAGCAGGATACCTTTTTATCAGAAGGCCAATAATGTAGATGTCTTCTACATTCTCAACGGACAGTATTGTTAGACAAACCTCCTCCACTTCTGCCAGGGATCTAAGGTGTACCCAACAGCAAATGTCCCAGAGGTGCAAGAAGCCTCCCCGCCGCCTTCTCTTTTTGTCAAAAAATTGTGTCCATTGTGCCCAGAGTCCAGCTGACGAATTCCATGGTTTGTTTACGACCGGAGGCTAAATCAAGAAAGAATACTGCACCATGCCCCATTTTTGTGACGGACGAACATAGCTGTGGCTGTAAAGAATGTCTGTGTCCATCTTGGCAGAAATCCTAGGACCTGTTGGTTGACACCAAAGTTGAGGGATGTTTTCTTGCTGTTGGCTAGTTTTAACCATGTTGTCGGCCTCTGGGACTTCTGAGGCAGCTGATCGGTGTCAACTGGCTAATTGGTGTGCCGCTTTGGTAATCGCTGAGGTAAAAACCTTGTGGCGTGGTAGGAGTGAGGTAAGGCCATGGACAACTTCCCGATGGCTGATAGTCAACAGTCAACCATTTATGCCTCGAGCATAATTTTTGAAAACATTTTAACCTAACGTTTGTGGACTCTGGGAGGAATCTGATCAACCTTATTAACATGCAAAATATAATAGGCCAGAGCTGATGCATCTTGCTATTCACTACGTTGTCCCACTTCTCTGATTAAGTCTGTCTGTAGCACGGTGTTCTACATTTTAATCAGAACATGCTAGTCTCATGTGGCATGTGTTTTGGCAAATTCGTCAAGAAACTAGCATGAACTGAAGTGATTATTTACAAAAATCGATACAATATTCATTTTATCCTCTCATTTTGTTCTTGTTTCCTTTGGACTTCTCGACTGAAGTGAGTGAGGCTGACATGAACACCTCTGCAAAGGTAAATGCCTACATACAATTGTGAATTCACCAACCATTCACTCATTTTTCACAGAGAGAGGGGGAGAGGGGAGAAATATGTCTTGTGCAACTATCTCTCCTAACTCGGATATGTTAGTCATGTGGAGAAATTGAAATCATGCTTTAATGTAACAATTGGTAAAATTCAGTGCTATGAATAATTTCTTGGTTGCACTGTTCATGTTGACATCATTGTATATTTGTCCACATATCATCAGCTCTGCAAATGTATATCACTCTTGCTTGATCATTCAACCTGGCTTGGGGATTTCCTCTTCATGAAATTAGAGAAATGTTTTCCATCCCATTCCTCACTGCTTATGGGGAATGGGATGGAACAAACAAATATCCAATTAACCACGGTTAATTGGATATTTGTTCAATAGTCTTATTAAAACATTTGTTTGCTTGCTCATTTCATTTTTGGTATCTCTATAAGGGCTTAGTGTTGATCACAGGAATTCCTGATGGTGACTGGTCAGAGAGTGAAGTCATTAAGCTCATCCAGCCTTTTGGAAACCCCACTGACATCATCTCCGCTTCATCACTTGGAAAGGTAACAGTTACCAATGATACCTTTAGCCACTTTGAGCTTGATGAGTAATTACGAGTTCAAATTTTTTTCTCTCTAGTGTATCATAACTGGAGGTTCAGCCGGCACATAATGTAATTTCTTACACACTGCCTTTTTTTTTTTTTTGGTAGCTTTAGATTTTTTTTCCCTCCAAAACTGAGTAAGGATATTTTACATGGGTACAAGTAGAGGAGGGAGGGGGGGTATCGACTTTGATCGGTACCGAGAGATAGAGGTGTCAAATTATCGCGTTAATTGCGACTAATTAATTGCAGCCATATTTAGCGAGTTATGTTTTTAATCGCGTTAATATAACTTTTAATCTCTAATTTTATTGTTTATGTAGGTGGGTTGCCATTTTTTAATATCCCTTTTATGTGTTGGCTTCCTGTGTTCGAGTTATTGAGGGTGGGGAAACAACTGTCAGTCACAGCCTGAAGCGGACATTGATTGGCTGTCATTTTTTTGGACTTGTTTAGCTTAAGCTGATTGGCTCCCATTGGAATTTGGCGGGTTAAGTAAGCAGCGGTGAGAAGAGGAGAGGTGAAAATGGAGGAGCATGTGAGAGTTCTCGGCACAATGAATGGACAATTTATATTCCAAAAACGCCATGACGGCACCAGTGATAAAGGTAGAGTGTTGTGCCCAATTTGCAGAAAGGAGTTTGCTTACTCCCGAAGCAGCTCAAGTTTAGCCTCCTACATCAATGCAAATCACCCAGTCGCGAGTGCAGCCACAGCTAATGTTAGCACCAAAAGCGTGAGCAATAGAGGGAGCCATAGCAAAGCTCTTTGCCAAACTGAACTCGAGGAGAACATCCCGCAAGGCATGAAGTCAGCACAGCAGCTCTGTCCTCTGCAGCCGATTAGAAGTGGTTGATGTTTATTTCACCACTCTATTTTGTCATGATGAACAGTGTTATTTCTGAAGTGCTGACAGCACTGTGCTTTAAGTGCTGTTTTTTCTGTTTTATTTATTATCTGAAGCAAGTTCCGTGTTCTGTCTTGTCCAGGGAAACAAAGACAATGAAAGTATTTATTTAAAAAAATGATGAGATGTATTTCAGCCACAAAAAATACGACGAAGCATCATTCACAGATCTGCCATGAGCCTCTCGCTCGAGCACTTGGGCGCTCCCTTTTTTTTTTTTTTTTAATCTAATTTTTCTCTTTTTGTGAGGGGTTAAGGTCAGGCCATGCAGCACAATCAGCACTTTGGGCAGCTAGACTTTTTAGATAACAGAATGAAGTCTAGTGCATGAGCAAAGAACTTTGCTTATCTGCAAATAACATGGTCTGGATTCACAATGGTACAAACAGTTAGTCCAACTCTGATGATGGATGAAAATAAATTTGTGTTGGATTGTCAGATGAAACATTAATAAAATGTCCTTTTATGTCAGGCTCTTGTGTCTGTACCAAACTTGAAGACTGCTCAAGAGGTGGTCAAAGCTCACATCTCCATTCCTGCAAAGATCAAAGATTGTGACCTGAAGATAGTTGATATCAAAGAGCATGTTGGCATTGACACACCGGTAAGGAATTTTTCTAATTAGTGAAATCAGATCTCCTGCTCTTTGCAGTTGAAGAATCACTTTTATTCACAGAATATATGGTTGATGAATGTTGTCACTGTGGTGCGAAGTTTGTTTTTTTTCCTTTGGGGGCGGTCACCTATGGGTCAAAACTAATGCTGAATGATTATGGCGAATAATGTATTTTTTTTTCCCCCTAGAAAATTGCGATTGCAGTGTTTTTCTGGGACTTTTTCAATGATTTTTTTTTTTGGGAGTAAACAAGCAGTTTATCTTTATGACCGTAAACAATATCAAATCTATTATAGATGATAGGATCTTAAAATTGAGCCAAATGAGTGGATATTAATAGTTTAATTTTCTCTGAAAATTACCGGTTTAAACTTAATACCTGTAAGTGTTCACCTTGACAAAATGATTCTGTCACACAAGTGTGACGTGAAATTATTGCTGTATGTAGACTACACTGTCAATCAGTAAGAACTCAAACGAGCTGAAGCGCAGATTATAACAATAATGCAAACAAATCTGTGACTTTGTAACTTGAACATATCCAACTTTTTATGTTACATGAACCATATCATTGATATGTGAACAAATGTACAGTGATCCCTCACTTAGCGCGGTTAATAGGGACCAGCACTGGCCACGATAAGTGGAAAAAACGTGAAGTAGGGTTTGTGCCCCCCCAGGAATTTTTGTGTACGTGTATGTGAGTAACAGCATGTTTAAAATATATAGACCAGGAGTGCCCAACCTTTGCTGACCGAAGAGCTACCGTTCTGCTTCATGCTCTGACGGTGTAGCCGCCATTTGCCTCAAGCTAGCTCCTGGCCAGCTATCCTCGTGCAGCCGATGTGTTTATAAGACAATTAATCGGTATTGTGGAGGAGGAAACGAAGGGCCAAGTGCTGCTGCTGTGGGACGAGCCCATTCCCCGCTCCCCCACCTTCTCTCTCTCTCGCTTTCGCTCACTCTCCGCCGCGCACGTAGCAAACACAACACTAAGAGACAGTATGCCAGATAATCAACAGTGTGACAAGACACCAGGGAAGGTGCTGAGTGGGGCTACGAAAATGTGCAGCCAGTCAGCGCATTGGAAAAATCCACTGTGCTGTCATTGGTCGATGTTGCGCTGGGAACCAATCATGCGTCTTGAATGAGTGCCTGTTGCATATACAGTACAGGCAAGTACAAAACCTCGGAAACGTTAGGAATACAGTACTTTGGGGAAAAAAAAAAAACGCAATACTTTGAAGCCGCGATAAATGAACCGCGATGTAGGGAGGGATCACTGCACTGCACTTCTTCTAATGTTCCTAGGAGAGTCTCCAGTAGTTCCCAGCGGGAGTGCTCTCCGGCACAAGGACTTCCGAAGATCGGGCTTGGAGAACCCTATTCTCGAGAGGCACCATACATTGTGTGCCTCAAAAGACCCCTGATGATGTTCACAATATATGGACCTAATTTCCCTTGCCCTAACGCAGGTCAACCAGGCCCCTTCTCTGAAGCCAAGTCTGGAGATGGGCCTCTTTGGCAAGTGCCTGGTGGCTGGGCTTTTGTCCATGGGACTTGGCCGGGCATGGAAGGAACCTGAGCTGGTGCGCAAGGCAGAGAAATTGCGACTCAACATAGTTGTATTCACCTCCACACAGCTTGGTCTCTGGTAACAGTCCTCTCAATGGGTTGGACTCTCTTACACGCTGGAATTGGTTATGGTGAGAGCCACAAAGCAAGTGTGGGCATAATTATTGACCTCAGGCTTGGTGCCAGTACGTTGGGGTTCACCCTGGTAGACGAGAGGGTAGCGTCCCCACACCTTTGGGTGAGAGAACGCGTCCTGACTGTTGTTCGTGCTTATGTACCAAACAGTAGCTCAGAGTACCCGCCATTGTTGGAGTCCTTAGGGGGTGTGCTGGACAGTGCTCCGCCTGGGAACGGCCTCATTCTAATGACAGTTAGACCTGGAAGAGTGTGACTGGAAGAAACCACCTGTCCGATCAGAACCCGAGTGGTGTTTCTGTTACTGGACTGTGCTCATCAGGGATTGTCCATAACGAACACCATGTTCAAACAGAAGGGTGACCTTATGTGTACTTGGTACCAGAACACCCTATGTAGCTGTTCGATGATTGACTTTGTGGTTGTGTCATTGGATTTTCGACCACATGTTTTGGACACTCGGGTGTAGAAAGGAGCAGAGTTGTCACCTGATTACCACGGCATGCTGTGTTGGCTCCAATGTCATGGGAGTGTACTGCTCCAACCTGCCAGACCAAAGGGTATTGTGAGTGTTTGCTGCGGCCATCTGGCAGAATCCCCTGTCAGAAAGAGTTTCAACTCCTGCCTTTGGCATAATTTCTGGGGGAGGTGGGGACATTACTTGGATAGACGAGGTTGCTGTTGTCATTTCAATTCCCAAGCTTTGAAACGCAATGCATTGTGGGGTTTATGACAAGCAAGAAGTACAGTACAGTATGTGCTCACATATCTGCCAGTGTCAGCCACAGGCTCAGGAACCTATGCCGCCGTTAATAAACGGTTAACTTTCCCTCAATTGTCTCACACACACTCACACACTCGAAACACAGTTACATTCTGAACTATTCCTTCATTGCTTGTGTTCATGAAGTAACAGTCCACCTTTCCAAACTAGGGCTGGATGGTGAATCGAAATTTAAATTGTGATTTCAATTTTGGCTTCTCTTGGTCCTTAAAACGTTATAATAGAAGAAAAACATTGAATGTGCAGTGGGGGGGGATGTGTTTACAAGTTCCCGACGTAAAAGTACCCTGAATGCAAGTTATTTTAAGAGTGCAGGAACAGCCAGTGTTTGTTTTTAAGATGCTATTATTGTTGAATGTTCGAAACCTAATTTATTTTCTCATTGTCCTTTCATCTCACATTTCAAGTTAATTTTTCAAGGAATCCAGAAATTTTCCTTTGCTCACGGTTCAAGGATACAAATATCCAAAGGCTTTTTGTTGATTTACCAGCATACATTTCCACATGGCATCAAATACAATCCCCCAAATCCCAGGTTAGCTCAGTAAGTCCCAAGACTTGTGAAAATACCACAAGATTAACTAAATATTAAGAAATATGTTTTATGCTTATTCAAGGCTTCAACATATGCATAGATGCAATGCATCAAAGCTGTGGATGGAGTTGAATGAAAATGTTAGAGACCTGGTGTCAAAGTTGAGGCCCATGGGCCTGATCTGGCCCGCCACATCATTTTATGTGGTCCGCGAAAGCAAATCAAGCATGTTAACTTTCATGATACTTGCTAAAGTCGGAAATAAAATTTCAAATTGTTTTATGTAATCCGTAATAATGTTTAAACAAGCAATTATTCTTGACCTCTGATTGCAAAAGTAGTTATCCATCAATTTGTTCGCTGTGGATATAATAGGTGGAGGTGGTTATACATATATATGGTTTCACAAAATACACAGTCATAATGGCAGAGAAAAAGATCTCGGATAACGCAACAGGGTTTTTTTTCGTTGTATGGGGGGCAGGAAAGTGGGAATGGTGTTAATGCATGAAGATTTTTTTCACATTAGGGGGTATTTTCGCCCATGTAGGTTGCGTTGTACAGGAGTTTCACTGTATATATTAAAACGTCTTTTTGCACTTGACCAAAAGAATGGTGTTCACGAATAAAGTGTTCAATGTGCAGGGATTAATGGACATGAGGCTATGATCATAGTTTTCAGTAGGTGAGTTTTAGTCGTTGAATAAATATAAAAGTTTTGACCAAGATGGCACCGACTAGAGCAGCCGCTTCGGTGATGCGCTCCTGAGTATTGTTTTTATTTTTGTCATTTTCGTTTGTTTTTGGCAACCCTAAGCAACTTACGTAACCCATGTGCTGCAGTCGATGTAAATAAGTTTATATAACGCAACATACAATTTTACAAAAATTGTAAAAGTATTATTCCTGAATATTTATTTTACTTTCAACCACTCGACATGTTCAGTGGCATCAGTGCTAAACATACACATATAGTTCTTATTTTTTTACTATGTATTTTTGCCCTCTATGGACAATTAAAGCGGTATTGTGCTATGACCAAAACATAAATATAAATCTATATAAATAAAACATGAATTGGAATATTTCATATCACACAATTTTTATGCTTTGTCTTTGATTTAAAGATGACAATACGCAAAAATCTACAAAAATTGTAGAAATTGTAACACATGGGGTAAATTACTCAAGTGAAGAATTGCAAAGCATGAGGGAGTCTCCTCTGACTTTTTTCGCCAACAGACACAAACCCAGAAGTTTTTTCTGATATAATAGCTGGAGGGGAAACTGCATTTTCGCAGCTTAGAGATGCAGTCGGAGGAGAAGGGGGAAATGAGCCAACTCCATCAGCGTGAATGTCAAACTCCTCTCCCATTGATCCATCTTGCTCATCTATGTTCTCTGCCAAACAAAATGGATGAAGGACCAACAAAACCTTTGCATGTTCCGCCCTACTTCACCAAAACCTGGCTTGGCCTACAGGCGTCCGTCTCCACTGAGCAGACTGCGACACGGAACTTTCAGGGAAATCAAAATGTGGTGGAATATGCTTCTATATCAACGAGAAATGGTGCACTGATGTCACTGAGCTATTTCTAAGGTGTAAGCCATTCTATACTCACTATGTGAGTTAACATCTTTCATACTTGCATGTGTTTACATGCCACCGCAAGCTCATCATCTTTGGGTGATTTTAATAGAGCACAACTTCCCATGACCTTCCCAGATATAAGCAGCACATTGATTGTTTCTTCACAGAAGAGGGTAATTAAAGACTCATACCAATCTGTTGCCCATGCAGTGCTGGGCTTGTCTGAGCACTGTTAATAGACGTAAACCCAACATATGGGCACAGATTCAAATGTGCAAAACCAGCTGTCAAGATTGTGAAGAAGTGTACCGATGAAGCAAAGCTGGCACTATAAGAATGCTTGGACTGCACTGACTAGGTTGTCTTTGAAACTTCAACTGGCAGCCTGGATCAATACACCGACACTGTAACATCATACATCAGTTTCTGTGAGGATGTGTGTGCACCAACAAAGACCTTAAGCAATAACAAGCCATGGTTCACCGCCAAACTCAGGCAACTTAGAAAAGCAAAAGAGACAGCCTTTAGAAGTGGAGAGATTGCATTGTACAAACACGACCACAACCAGTTGACAAAGGAAATTCACGTCGCAAAGAGAAGCTATGCAGAGCGGCTGAAAAAACAGTTTGTGTGGAATGGCCTGAAAGCATTACAAACTACCCGAGACCACCCTCCCAAAGAGTGAACGCTAAGGAGCTGGCTGACAATCTAAACATATTTTTCTGCAGATTTGAAAAGGTAACCTCCACCTCCCATGCCTGCCCACCCCTACCAGAAATTACCTCATTCACACCCCAGACCCCATTCCCTGCCCTGGTGATCCACAAACAGAATGTGCGGTGGCTCCTCAAGCAGCAGAAGATCAAGAAGGCTGCAGGGCTGGATGGCGTGTCTTCCTCCTGCCTCAAAGTATGCGCTGACTATCTGGTTCTAGTCTTGACACAGATTTTCAACAATTCGCTGGAGTTGTGTGAGGTCCCATCCTGCTTCAAACAGCCCACCATCATCCTAGTCCCCAAGAAAACCCCAACATCCAAACTCAATGACTGTCGTCTTGTCGCTCTGACATCTGTGATCATGAAGTCCTTCAAGCGCCTTGTGCTGGACCACCTAAAAAACATCACCAGACCCCTGCTGGGCCCCCTGCAGTTCGTCTACTGGGCAAACAGGTCATTGGATGACGCAGTCAATTTGGGGCTGCACTACATCCTGCAGCACCTCCCTGATGGACAGAACACAACAGGTGAGGCTCAGGAGGACAACATCAACCCGCACCATCAGCACCGGGGTCCCCCAAGGATGCGCCCTCTTTCCGTTGCTTTTCTCCCTCCTCACGAAATACTGCATCTCAACGCACCTCGCCGTCAAACTCATAAAAGTTCACAGATGACACCACAGTCATCGGCCTCATCAAAGACTGTGACCAGTCTGCATACCAACAAGTGGAACAGCTGAGCACTGCGGCACAGCCAGCACAACCTGGAGCTGAACATGCTCGAAACTTGTGGAGGTGATCGTGGACAGGAAACAACTTTCATCACAGCTGTCCTTCAAAGTATCCCAACTACCCTGTGTCAAATGTTAAGACCTTCAAAAACCTGGGAATCACAGTTTCTCCTATCTAACAAAGGCCCAGCAGCGGATGTACTTCCTGAGGCTGCTGAGGAAGCATGGCTGCCACAGGAGCTGCTGAGACAGTTCTACACAGTAGTCATAAAAGCAGTCCTGTTTTTCTCCATTACAGTCTGGTTTGGTGCCACCACAAAATAGGACAAACTCCGGCTTCCAGCACTAGATCCTTTGAAGCACTCAAGGACTTTCTGTGCTATTGCACACCTAAAGTTGTACTACAATTACCGCTACTAGTCACTTTAAAACGGTGCAACGATTATCTGCACCAACTGCACAAGTGTCATAGTATTGTAAGTACCGCACCACTGAAAAATTCCTTGTTTGTTTTACATGCTTGGCCAAAAACGATGATTCTGATCTTGAGATCAATGTAATCCATTGAAAAATCGTGATTTCACTTTCAATCAAAATCTTGATTATCTTTTCCATAATCGTCCGGCCCTGGTCCTTGAGTTCACTACCAAAATTTAGACTTGAGATCTATTGTAATGCTGTATTTTCTGTTTCTAAGTTGATTATTAATATTGTTACTGAACTAATATTTTTGCATAGGTGGCCCTCTACAATCTACTGATGCAGTCGTTGGACCCATTGGTAAGTTATTTCCACCACTAAATTTCACAGCAGTATTGACTGTATTATCCAACAGGAGAATTGCACTATAAAGTCTTCGGCACAAGTATACAGAAGTAAATGTCCCTCCATCTTAAGTTCTGGGTTAGCGGTCCTGTTTTTTTTTTTTAATGTTATGAATGGCTGGCAACCTGTTCAGGATATACCGCGCCTACTTCCCAAAGACAGATGGGACAGGCTCCAGCATGTCGTGAGGATAAGCGGTTCGGATGGTGGATGGATGGATGGATGGATAAATGTTACATCAAAACTCAATTTTGTTCTTTATTTTGGAGTGTAATTCTACTTTTCTGCCAGTATGCGTTGGCACGGTCTTGTATATCCATCCGTCCATTTTCTGATCAACTTTATTCTCACAAGGGTCGTGGGGCGTGCTGGAGCCTATCCCAGCTGTCTTTGGGCAGTAGATGGGATACATCTTGAACTGGATGGCAGCCAATGGCAGTGCACACATAGACAAACAAACATAGGCACTCAGAATCACACCTGATGACAATTTATCGTGTTCCATTAACCTGCCATGCATGTTTTGGGAATGTGGGAGGAAACTGGAGTACCTGGAGAAAATCCATGCAGGCACATGCAAACTCCACACAGGAAGGCCACCGTACCGCCAGTCTTGTGTATAATGCCATGTTAATTTGAAAGAAGAAGAGCAAGCAGAAAGTTTGCCACTGAAATGAAAAATAAGTTTATAAATGTTTTCATACTGGAGTAACATAAGTGTGAGAAATCCTTAGAAGACGTTATCATGTGGGTCAGGTTAAAGCAGCTTTTGTAGCCAAGGCGACACAGACTTTCAAAGTAAATTCATAATAATGGACTTCCTCTTAGATTTAGCATATGGCTCCAAGTGACTTTTGGTAGATCTTGCCCTGTTACACATACCACCAAATTTTCATTGATCTAGGTGAAAAGAACACCTACTTTGTTAAAAATTTCTTGGTGGCGCAAGTGAGACATTTAAAAAACAAAAAAAACCAAATCTACAATAAACAAGTAAATTACCGTAAATTCCGGGCTACAGACCGCACCCGATTAAGAGCCGCATGCTCAGATTTATGAAGAAAAATCAATTTTGTAATTATATGCGCCGCACCATATTATAAACCGCTGGCCAATGAGTAGGCGGGGGTTTGCTTCTGCGTCCCTGCCGCCTGGAGTGCCTCCGGTTGAGGCAGCGGACGCGGTCCCCCGCTGAACCCCCGCAGAAAAAAAAAACGCAACAATTTCTTGAGGTTAAAATAATCTCCATATTTTTATGAGCATGATAAATGCATTTGCACAACGAAATTACGCTGAAACACATAAGAGGCCAGACAAAGAGAGATCTTGATGCGCATTTGCGTTATTACGAGGAGAAATACTGCAGCCCGCTAGGCTTTAAATAGAATAATGCAAATCATATAAATGGGAAAAGATATATGAAATTATTTCTCTAGTCAGCCGCTTAAAAATGATCATCGGTGGCAGCTTTAGGCCCGATGCTGCGCAGCTCAAAACAGGTAAAATGTGTTCTCTCATGGTCGCTTGTTTTCAGTAGGACGGAGTAGTCACCTTTTTTATTTCCAGTCCGAGTGAGGGGCAAACCAAATGTGCAGGGGTGTTTTTGGTTGTCTTTTTACACTGGCTCAGTTCTTCTTGCCGGAGCCTCCACCTTCGCACCATCGACTCGTCTATGCCAAGATTACGGGCAGCAGCTCGATTTCCTTCTTTAACTGCCAGAGTGATCGCTTTTAGTTTAAAAGCTGCATCATATGCTTTTCGTCTGGTATTCTCCATGTTGATCAGGGTTAGAAGAAAGACTGAAATAAGGAAGTTGTGATTACCGGTAATCATACAATTTCATTGCACCCCTGTGTACTACTCATTCATTTTATTGGTCGACTGTTGCCAGGTAACACCTTTTTCCCCGCTACGGCGAGAAGAGCGGAATTTGTGATTAGTCATACAATCTCATTGGACCTCAGTGAACTACTCATTCATTTTATTGGTCCATGTTTTTCCCGCGATGGAAAAAAAAAATTAAAAAGCCGCTTCATAATACACACCGCAGTGTTGAAAGTGTGGAAAAAAAGTAGCGGCTTGTAATCCAGAATTTACGGTAATTGGATGTGTTGGAATTTTTGAAGATTTATTCTTAGGTCATATCGCCTAGCCTTTAATGTGGGTGCTGTATTGCATGTATGTTGTTTCCATTACATACTACCGTTTAATAGCATTATATCAGAAAGTTTTTAACATTGGATCTCATGTTGCAGGTATTTGGGTCATTGTTATTACTACATTAGCTGAGTAAAACAGATTTTTGTTCTAAATCACCCTTGATGTGGGTGTAACCTGTTTCTTGTGTCGTTTGTGTTAACTGGTGTGAGTATTATGCTGCAGACTGTAAACTGTATCACTAGCTGAGTGACAAATTTCCCTTTGGGGACCAGAAAAACATGCATGGGCTGCCCGGTGGGCGACTGGTTACTGCATCGGGCTCACAGTGCAGAGCTGCAGGGTTTGGTTCCGGCTCCAGCCTTCTGTGTGGAGTTTGCTTGTTCTCCCTGTGCATGCGTGGGTTTTCTCTGGGTACACCAGTTTCCTCCCACATTCCATAAACATGCACAGCAGGTGAGTGGAACACTCGAAATTGTCCCTCGGTTTGAGTGTGAGTGCGGATGGTTGTTCGTCTGTGTGCCCTGTGATTGGTTGGCCACCAGTTCAGGGTGTCCCCCGCCTACTGCCCAAAGACAGCTGGGATAGGGTCCAGCATGCCCCGCGACCCTTGTGAGGATAAGCAGTTCAGAAAATGGACGTATGGATGGATGGATCGATGAATGAAAACTGCACAATAATTTAGTAAGCAAACCTTTTTCTGCGTCATTTAGGAGAGTTCATCTCCAGTTAGTTGGAGCAGCCTCTTGGTGATAAATAATGTTCCTGACACCCCCACTGGGGCCCGTGAAGTTAAGCAACTGGTTCGGCGTTTTGGGACTGTGGTCAAAACTCTGGAACTTAACAATATGGTAAGGAATTCAACCATGCCTGTGCGAAACCAACAAATGCACTCTTCTATCATTCTGTTGTTATCCAGTGTTAAAAATGTTTCACATACCACAGTCAGTCATGGCTCAAGACTTCCAGATGCTGTTAATCAAGTCACCAACTGTGGTGTGTGTGTGTGTGTGTGTGTGTGTGTGTGTGTGTGTGTGTGTGTGTGTGTGTGTGTGTGTGTGTGTATTAGAAAGAGACAGAGACAGAGACACAGAGCGCCTCTCTCCCTACATCGTTTTATTCCTGCAAAATAATCCACATTTTTAGTAAATGTAACTAATATTTTTACATGTTTTTTTTTCTGTAAATATTAACAGATTTCAGTTTGACTTTTGGGGTATCCTGAAAACAATGCAGGTACATGAACTTTTATTTTCTTCTTGCTAAGGTTATTTGTGAAATGGCAACTTCAGCCATGGCCCTCTCCGTCTACAAACGCTTCCAGAGGTTTCCATGCATTATACAAAACAACCCACTGTTTTTTTCACACAAGCCTGACCCCAAAGCCAGCACGCCGACTCAAGTATTATCTTCAAACCCACATTCACCTGAGGTATGCTTGATTTTTAGTTGTCAAATAAATTTAGGCTTTCAACAATTGTGGGGAAAAAATATTTTTACATGTATTTCATCTGATGTTTTAGGCTATTCATGCAATTACTGAAGACGGCATTACAGATACAGCTGACCAGGACAAGAAAGCATTTGAAGAAAATGTTTCTGTTGATATGGAAATAGGGCCAGATGGATTAATGGGCCCTCAAAAGGTTGCCACTGCAGATGAATCGTTGGAAGAAAAGGGAAGCCTTGTCACTCACGAGCCCAGGAATGTACAGTCTGAATCTGCACTTCAACCACACACAAAGACTGACAAAGAGAACGTATCAAGTAGTAATGCAGTCTTGAAGTCTGACGAGAAGGATGCATCAGCTAATGAGACTATTTTGCTGACAACTGAAAATGTAGCTGAGTTAGAAAAAAATAAGACCGTTGGTCACTGTACTTCTACAGATGTTTCCAGTACAGAGTTTTCCAAGGTAAAAGATAAATATGATGTTTCTCATGTTTTAAGCTGTTTCATGAATAGTCCACATTTATTATTTTTCTGAGTTTTTGATCATGCAATCCTTTTGTTTTCTCAAGGATATCCCAGAGACACAGAATGGAGCAAGAACTAACCAACATCCAAATAAAATGGCAGGTTCTGCAAATGAAGATCTCCTGGAGACAATGGGGGAAAAGACGCATTGTCAAATAAAAGAGACAGATCAACAAAAAGTAATTGATGGAAGAAAATTGACCTTGAAGAACCATGCGGAGGGTGGTTTAAAGACAAAAGAGAGGGAGAGAATTACAAAAGAAGCAAAACAGGAGAAGGAACCAAAGGAGAGCGAGAGAAAGATTAGGAGGGTCCAGGAGAAATTGCAAAGGGCCAAGAGGGACAGTGAGCAGGAGGACAGAACCAAAAGAGAGGTGAGGGCAATGGAGAGGAAAGAAGAACTTGTTCAGTCCTCAGAACTGAGTTCATCTTGTAGGTTTGAGACATGTAAGAGGAACTCAAATGTGGATCAACAAAGAATCTCTAACAAATCAGATGCTGAACTGCCCAAAATGGTGAGGTGCATTTATCAAAAAGTATGTAGATCTAACAGTTATTGTGACTGTTGTTATCAATTGTATTCTTTCGTACAATTAGGATGAGGGTGAAGATTTTGAATCATTTCCGTTGAGCATGGGTGACTTTGTGACTGTGGATGAAGTTGGGGATGTGACTGCCTTGACTGACTTCCCACATACACCTTCTCCTGCTCCTCCAGAGAAAATTGCAGAGCAAGAGCAGTCACTAACCTTTGTCCCACTGGACACTCATGAGGTGAAACATTCATATGATTTTCAAATCTTGTTGAGGTGTTTGAGAATGTGTTTAAATTCGTCTTTTACTTTTTGCCACTTCAAGGTCACACCTTTGGATGAAATGAAAGGAGTGATTGCTCAATCTATGAAGTCTGATGTTCCCAAAACAAATTGTCAGCTTCAGCCCATGACATCTGAAGATCCCATTGTAGATGTTGGACATCAGCCTCCAACTTCAGCTCGGACCTCTGACAGTGTATCATCAGATGTGATTGGCATGCTGAGCTGCAAAATTGTAACCCCATCCGCACAAACTCGGCAAGAATTGTGTCCCGTCAACCAAAAAGTGGTGGCAACTTTTCAACCAGAAAAAAATGAGACAGGTAGAATATTTCTTTCAAGAAAATGTACCCTTAAGCATTTTTCTTAACCCTCATATTAATGTTGCTGCTTTTTTTTCTGTCTTTGTCAATTTATAGAGACTATAGCCTCTGTTCCCACAGAATGTATGGTCATAGTTGAGACTCTTCCAACATCTATTTCAATAAGCACAGCCGTAATCGATGCTATAACATCAGATCCACACACTATTGAGGTGAAAATGACTTCTGGAAAAAATACCACAGGTAATGCTACTGAAGAAAAGCAAAAAGCAACACCCCTGGTTAACAGCCCTTTAAATGATGGGCAGACCTTAACGGAAAGAACACAGGAAATGGAAAAGGTGCAAATGAAAGAGGACACCTGGATAAGCCTTCCATCTGATGAGCCAGGTAAAGTTTCTTTGATTTAGTCACTCGATCTTGTCAAACTTTTCCATGCTCCTGCAAATATTTGACAGCAGATTAAATGTTGATAAACTTTGGATATTGTCCATTTATTTTGTGGTTCACTGATTTTTTTACGAGAGCAGAAAAAAAACTTCCGTCGGTGCAGGCTTTATCTCCCACACTTGGATTTTGCCTTGATTACAATTCCTCTATTTGTACAAATGTGTGTGTATAGTTGTATGAGTGTGTGGTTTTCTAATAAAGGACAACAAGTACAAATAAGCAAGTACCGTATTTTCCGCACTAAAAGACGCACTGGATTATGAGACGCACCTTCAATGAATGGCTATTTTGTAATTTTTTTTTCATACATTGGACGCTTCACATTATAAGGCGCAATCTACAATGCGTCCACGAGATGGTGCTACGCCCCTTCCATTCAACTCGAGAGGCGTCTGTTCAACTTGATAGGCGTTCATGACCACCTCTGTAAAAATGTAAATTAACTATTACTGTACTTAAATGAAACTATGAAAATTGAAAATAATGCATCAAAAGAAAATCAAGCGAGGAAAAAACAAAATTAATTCTATATCCCCCCCTACAGAATTTATTTTGTGATTTCCTTGCTTGAATTTCTTCGTGGTTTCATTGAAGTAATAATTAATTTACGTTTTTCGGAGGCGGCCATGAACGCCTCTCGAGTGGAACGGAAGGAGGCACGGAGACAGACAAAGACGTACAGTACCTGTATTTGTTGAGACTGTGAAAACCATTAATAAAGTCTGCGTTTAAAAAAATAAAACCCCAGCTCTCCTTTTTTCAACAAATACAGGTGAGTCTTTGTCCGTCTCCGTGCCTTCTCTTATTCCGTTCAACTTGAGAGGCGTTCATGACCGCCTCCGAAAAACGCATTGGCATTTCCTTGATCATTGCGCCACGACTACTACGATCAGATATGTCAGTAGTAGTTATTTATTCTTTTGTTGTGTATTCACAAATGATGAAATCACAATATAAAGTCTGTAGGGGTGGCTATAGAATTTATTTTGTGATATCCTCGCTTGCTTTTCAGTTTTGATGCATTATTTTCAATTTTCGTAGTTTCAGTGAAGTAATCATTAGTTTCCGTTTTTTCGGAGGCGGTCTTGAACTCCTCTCGAGTCAAACGGAAGAAGGCACTTAGACAGACAAAGACATACCTGTATTTGTTGAGACTGTTTTAAAAAATTAACACCACAGCTCTCCTTTTTTCGGAGCCGCAACAAAAGCTTATTTAATAAAGCAACGACGCAGTTCACTGAACCAACAGCAAGTTATAACATTGGAAGCATGTCTCCAGGAAGGAGCCATCTTGGAGTCGATGTATTACCGTAATGACCATACAAAAGACGCACCGGATTTTAAGGTGCTCAGTGAGCTTTTAAGAAAATTGAAGACTTTTTGGTGCGCCCTATAGTGCGGAAAATACGGTACATATAAAAAGGATCAGGGTCGTGGTGGCCACTGGGAGTTTCCCGAGCGCTCAGTGCATTTTTGGGCTGGTCGACAGCACCACAGTACATCCCTGTAGAGCAGTGATTCCCAACCTTTACTGAGCAAAGGCACATATTTTAAGTTTGAAAAATGGCACAGTACACCACCAAACAAAATTGTCACAAAAAGAGGATACATTTGTCAATTTCATACTCTGTGCCATCTAATAGATCATTTATTCGTTCTTTCTGTCACTATAGGTTGCTGGCATAGACCGACAAAGATACATTATTTGTTATTAATAAATTATTTTCTCACCAATTAAGTGAAATTTGATCATTTCCAGCGGCACACCATTGGAGCTCTCACGACACACTTATGCGCCTCGGCACACTGGTCGGGAATCACTGCTGGAGAGGATATGTGACAATAATAACGTACTGTACTCTATTCAACTGTATTTATAGAATACAACCATTGCTGTATACAAAGTGCTGTACGTGGAGCAAAAATAATTCATACAACAAACAATAAAACAATACATTAGTAACGAAGACAGTAGAAATCACATCTCACGCTGAGTCAAAAGCTAAAGAGTAAAAAGTAGTTTTAAAGATGGGCAGCAGTGAAAGTGAAATTGATCGGACTCTTTGCATGCAGTGTACACCAACTCAAAAATATATAATATTAATCACGCACACACAATTTTCTTTTTTGTCCCATTTCCCCCTTCAACCCTCATGGATGACATGGGACCAGTCCACGATCGACTGTTTGGGCACTCCTGACTGAAAAGATCACTAAGAATAATTGTAATCATAGCTCACAGCTTCTTCAGTTTGTTTTTATCTGTAGTAATTCAAACAGTTACTATCAGGATGATGATATAATACTTTTTATCTCATAAAATAAAAACAGAATATTTTTAAATACTGTGAAACAATTGGAGACAAAACATCATAACTTGTAAACCATTTTGAATAAATACAGTAGTCAACCAAAGTCCTACGGCACCAAAATAATGATTGTTTTCAGCTGTTGGGCAGTATGAAATCTTGAATATTTAACATTTGACATCCCAACCACCTACATTGGAGGATAGAAGCCCAGTTATTTGATTACCGGTATGCAATGATCCCTCTAATTTTTTTTTGTGTCTGAGCAAACACACAAACACCCCGAGCGGTCCCATGGACCACTGTGAGCAACATGCGCCATGCAAATTGTGGTCACGCAGTATCATATACAATACAATACATCCTGATTTATATAGCGCTTTCGCAACAGCTGCAGCTGTAACAAAGCACTTTACAAAACAGTTAACATCAAGTAAATAATAAACACAACACATAACATAAAAACAGAGAGTCGTGCAATCTTAACCACTTTTCCCTCATACGCTTTGTTGTTTGAAGCAGTTCTAGATGAAAGAGGACATATGCATTCAAGTTGCATGTTTTAATTAAAACAATAAAATGATGGCAATAGTTTCTATCAAATGCCTTCTTTATTAAGTGTGTTTGTTCGCTTTCAGTGAAAAACTCAAAAGTCATGTAACCAGAAGTGTAGCATATTAACATAGCTGTTTTAACAATGGTTTGTATAAATTATGGCAAAGCATGAACTGCCATAAACTGCAATGTGACAGTGTCCTCTGTATGTCCACTTCATGCTTGGAGTAAAACTGAGTTATTGCCTGCACGATATCCTGAGCAGTGCATGTTGTCAGCTGGACTATTCCACCAAACACAGTTTAATGATTGAAACTATTTTTCTCTCTGTATTTAATGTACAAGACGAGCATTTTATGCACCGTTATGTCTGTGCTCTCATCTACTATAAGCGTGTGCCAAGGTGCATCTTTAACACTGCACATCGTCTCATCCTGTACTATTGCATTGATTGAATCCACAAATTCAAAAGCATAGTTTTTACTTCGCCAACTGTCTGGTATACTCACATACTTTGCCATGTGGTCGTGAATTTGTTGTACCGACAGCATTGATGCATTCATTTTGATGGCTCGTACAACATTGTCGATGAGGATTTTGACTTGCTCCGGGTTGGATTTGTTTACGGTGGACAGCTCGTTCCTCTTCTCTCGGTCTTTCTCTTCTCGTGGTCTTTGGCGCTCTCTGCCAATAACGTACCGATCCCCATTTCCATCTTGCATCTTTGTACAATTTTGACTGCATTCAAATTACTTTTGTGCTGAATGTGACGCTTGAGGTGGTACAGTTTCCATTCGCTCCACACTTTTCCCTCCGAAAACTCGCTTGCTACTTTAGCTTCGCAACACGTTTTACAGAGTAGACCTTTCCGCAGTGAACAACGTCATGACGTAAATGCGTGAGCGAACGCGTCAAATAACAACCTGGAACAGCCAATTACATGTTGCATAATAGAGAATAAATTATGCATTTATTTTATTTTCAATACTGGTTGGATTTTTACTTTGTGCGCAGCTCAGATATTTTGTGCGCAGACACGCAGGGGGCAGTGCGCATTTGCTCACAAACCATGCTTAGAGGGAACAGTGCCGGTATGCATTGTAATATAAGTTGTGCGATGGGCCGTCCATTCATTTCCATTGTCTGAAACTCAGTGCATAACAACATATTTCTCGTATAGGATGCAGTTGGTTGAAGATTTGGTCATTTTGGTGAAAACTTGTTTCTGTTCTGTTCTCTTATGTTCACATAGGAAGAGGCAATATTTCTGACATCCCAGTAATCACTGATGAAAAGAGTAAGGAGAAGCCACTAACAGAAACTCCCATGACCACAGACACCGTCCATTTTGATCCTAGCATGCCAGTTGGTAAGACTCCTCTTGGAATGTTGGAATGTACTATGAACTTTCAGTGACTGAGTTAAATTGTATGGATTTCTACAAAGATGAGTTAATATACATGACAACCACGAGGGATTTGATTAAGATAATATAATCATCGTTCCATTGTTAAAAAAAAGTCATTTTCTACTGATTTGAATATTGTAGTGTTTTTTTTGTTTTGTTTTGTTTTTAAGAATGTAGTTTTGGATCATTTGTCATTGATTTATTTCCCTTAACCAACAATTATGGTTTAATTTCAAGATTTAAGAAGTATAAAAATCTGACCAAACAATGTTGAACATCTGTCAGATATTTTTCAAAATCTTAAACAACAAAATAACACTTTCCTCTTTTTCTACCATTCACATCAACTGGCATCAAATGGAGTTTCATGTAAAATTGTTTTGTCAATATTCACTCCCTTCCCATCTCTCTGTATTACATTTAGGTATGGAGTTCTTGGTCCCAAAAACAGGCTTCTTCTGCAAAGTATGTAATCGTTTTTTCAGTGGAAGCAAAGACACTCAGATCACCCACTGCAAAAGTCTCAAGCACTTTGAGAATCTGCAGGTATGAAAGCACACCTATTATCAAAATTTAAAGTGTATCACCATCATCTGCTCCATCGTGCAATTTCCAAACCATACAAGGATGGAACTAGTAACAATACTCTCCACCGCACTTCTCTAGAAACTGCTCAAGGCATTGGTTTTCATGCCAAATTTGTTGAGCTTTCTAAAGCCCATATCGCAATGAGATGTGAAGGTTTGCAAGTGTGTAGCAAATGTGTTTTTTGTCAAGGTATGTTCAATGTTGCACACAGTTGCAGAGACGTTCACTAGATATTGCCAAACAGATTTAATTGTTGAAAGAAATTTTTCTTGTTGTGTGCCTCCAGTGCAGTTTTTGTTCATGATGCAATCATGATGAAATGGTTGCACCTGCTTTATGTAGAGAAGGGCTGGGTTGCCTTTCACTTACTACCACTTTAAATGCCCCTCCCCTACCCCCTTCTCTGAGGAAAAAGTTTAAACTTGATATGGGTAGGAGTGCTATCTAAATTATGGCAATACTCGATTACGCCATTGGGCATTTTTCGAGCAAAATACACCTTTAAAACAAGTCAAAAATTAACATTGCCATGTCACAGTGATTACATGAACTGCTCAAAAAAGAGCAAGATTGCATTGCACAGGGTATGTCATTATTTTGATGAATCGGGTTAACCCTTTTTTCAGGGGATCAGATACCATTGGTATTTTCACTATTGTTTTTACACACAGCCCAGAAGAATAAATGAAAATTAATTTTCGTTGGTCTGTTGCTTGAATGCAGAAAAGTCGATGTGTAAATGAAAGTTGAGCAAATATAAGTTGCTTCAAAGACAATTGGAATTCTCAAGAATTCAACCACAGGTAAATCAACGCATCAAAAATTGATAGTTTGTTCCATTCACTGGGGACTTGATTAACAATAAAGAAATAAAATAATTGGGGATGTACCAATACTCACTTATGTTAAACATTGTATATCTTATAAAGCCATGATGACTTACTACATTCTCTTGTTCATTCTTTTGCAGAAATACTTGGAGACAAGAAAACCAAAAAGTCACTAGTTTTGGAAACTGCTCTTGAGTGACTTCCTCTTCGTTTCATTTGAGCTACCCCCTCTTTGGCGTGCTTGGAAAACAATGACACTGCAAAGGACTTTCCACAGTCCACAGCGTCTGTCGACATTTCGTGTTTCGCTCGACAGATCACAGGTGTCAACACATCTTGTGAGTTTCCCATTTCTATTGGGCAACTTAATTAACTTGGAATTACGACAAAAACAAAAAGGCAGATGTAATTTAACATGTAATTTTCAACCAATGTAACTTTTTTCAGGAAATTATTCTCTCTTGTGCAAACAACAGTTGTGTTTAGTTTAAAATTGGCAAGCTCAGATTTTACTCTTTTGCAGAACAGATGATCTGGCTTTGAAGGAAAATGAGCGCTGTCGCGGAATTCAAAAGTCCTTACAGCCCTGCATGTTTTGTGTTGACTCTGTGAAGACCTGTAGCAAAATTCAAGTGAATTATAGTTTAGTTGAAGGACATATCCGTTCCTTGGTTTCATTTTGTTCTACTGTCTTGTGCTGATTGAAATGTGTGCTGATTTCTGATGAAGGAACAAGATGAAACTGTACCGTGAAAAGAGGGCTGCAAGAAATAGCACAAACTGCACTCTTTTTTTTTCTGTTTTTTTTTTTTTTTTCAACATATTGTATTGATGTCCCTTGCACCCTTATGTACCTTGCATTAAAGAACTTGGGATGACAGTTTGCTGGTCTTGGGTTTATTGCAGTACTTCAGCTTAATTTGTTTGAGGAACAGTATTTTTTTAAATTATTATTCTGAGTAGTCCTTTCCAAATACAGTCATACCTCGGTTTTCGACCATAATCCGTTTCAGAACGCTGTTCGAAAACCGATTTGTTCAAAAACTGAAACCACGCTCTTTAAAAAAAAAAAAAATCATTTAACACGTCTGCTCACAATGCAACGCTACACGAGGAAGCGTCACTTCCTCGTCTACCCGAGGAAGCATCACTTCCTCGTGTAAGGAAGGCGAGAGGAGTCAAGTGGCGCATTCAAGTGCGCTCAGTTTGTTCGAGAACCGATTTTTGGCCATAATCCGAGAAATAAAGAACTCAAAATTTTGGGTCGAAAACCGATTTGGTCGAGAACAGCGATGTTCGAAAACCGAGGTTTGACTGTATATTCAAAATAAACGTTTTGTAGTTTTGTATATTACCAGCTGCTTTTTTTAGGCTGCACTATACCAGTGGTTGGCAGTGAGTTTCGGACCTGCGCCTTCACTTGGTATTAAGTGTCCTAATCCACCTCTTAATAACCCCATCACATCACAGAATAATGTCAAAACAAACAAAAAAAATGCTACATAACACTGGCTATACTCACACTTGCAGAGGGTATAACTGTTAATAAAACCAACTTTGTACATTCACGGACGATTATCAAGAATCTCCCTCCCGAATACACACCCCTCACGCATCGTATGCTTATCCGATTTATAGCCACATCAAAATGACGACAGTGAGTGGCATAAAATCATGTCTTTGAGGATACCATTATAACTAAAGCAAAACACACACACACATTTACCTTTATCTTTCAATACATCACCTCAACCACTCCAAACCTTGACACTATAATCAAGTAGTTTCAATAAATAAATCACATTGCACTCACCACAGATGCTCATGCTAATCTGTCTGGCTTTGTACCATCGTTTCCGCACGAAAAGGCGCACCTAAAAGCCTTCCATTTTCTTGGAAGCTCACAGCGCACCTTAAAATCCGATGTGCCTTGTGTATGAATATTACGGTAATGTGTCGACCCCAAAATGGCTCCTTGCTCGAGACATGCTTACAACGCAGTGTTCAAACTTAAGGCGATCGGGTTACGAAGTTGAACACGGAAATAGAGCAGCGGCAAGAGAGTGAAATGTTAATGAGTCAATGTTATAACTTGCTGTTGGGGAAGTGAACTGTGTCACTGCTTTATTAAATAAGTTTTACTGATATTTGATCGTTCTGTAGACACGCCACTCAACAGCTAAGCTAGTTTTGCTGGTATCGTTTGTTCAAAGCTTCTTTGACCTGTGAAGTGAGTTGCGTCGGCGTTGATTGGTTGAACCACGTGCATTCGCGCTCACGCACGCACGCACAGCAGAGAGCAGCGGACTATGGGGACTGCTGAGGCGCGCTTCACTCGAGTGGCGGCATTTCCTTGACATAGCTCCATCTTGTGGATGCATTGTAGATTGCGTCTTATAGCGCGGTGCATTCAATATATGAAAAAAAGGACAAAATAGGCTGTTCATTGAAGGTGCGCCTCATAATCCAGCGCGCCTTTTAGTGCGGAAAATAGGGTAGGCTAACTGTTCTGCTCATACAATAGTTACTCAAAGTGTCTCCCCCACAAAAACGTTTCCGGCTTGAAACAATATTGGTCATGGAGTTGTTGATAACAAGAACCAATGTCTCCAACTTGCTAGAACAGATTTGGTAATGGTCTATATGCCAGGAAGACACTATTGAGGTGGGTTATGAATGGATCCCATTAAGAATACGTAATGATCGGTGTGATGGTGGCCACTTCACTGCTACTGTCAAAAGGAAATCTCAAGGAATATTGGAGGAGTTGCTGAAGGAACAAGACAACCATGATTTTAATGAAAATGCAACAGAAGATATAGAAATGTGTCAGGTTCATCAATTTGACACTTAAACATAAACACAAGGAGGAGACAGGAGACTCAATTCTGGTACCAGGAGGGAACGAGGAGAAGCGTTGGTTTCAGTTCTCTGCACGTCACCCTAGCGATCTCCCCCCTCACCCCCTCATTTATTGGGAAATCTACTACATAGGTGTGTCCAACCTAAAGGGTGGGGCTGTTGAAGACACACCGAACTTGTTTGACTATGTGTGTGAATGTGAGTGTAAATTACGTACATGTGTGCAATTGTTACAAAAACATCACGTTGCAGCTGGTGTTGATGGCTCCATCCACTGTCTAACCTTGCTCCTGTTTAGTCTGAATACTTATCTTCTTCGGGACAAATAAAGGATATCTTATCTTATCTCTTCCCAACCACGTCCTCGAAAAGGTGGTTGCGTCCCTAAACTGCCACACAGTGCACTAAGCATTCTTGATTATAAATGTGAGTATATAATGATTAAAAGCATTATATCTTTATTAAAAGCATCAGCGTTCTTCATTGCAGGCATAATCAATTAATGATTGCAGGCATAAGCGTTCTTCATTGCAAGCATAATCAATTTATCATTAATAATATGCAAATGTATGATAACTAAAAACAATCAACCTAACAAAATGTCAACAGATGTTGTAAGGACAGCAACTCAAGTGTTTGGCAGTGGTGTACCCATCATGTGCAGAAGTCCCTCCAGATAAATGTTTAAAAAAATGCCAAAATCAGGACAGGCTGTGTTGCTGCCTCTCACTCACAATGCTTATGCAAAGCAAAGCTCTATTCAGCTAGGCTGAGATTGTACTGTTGGTCAAGATTAGTTTGCCAAGTCAGCCCAAACAAGACATATTCCAGGATCTTCTGAGTAAACAAGTGTTTTTCAATACAGTGAAACTCCTATACAACGAAATCATGTTTGCAGCAAGAAATTTTTCACAACAGGGGGTTTTTCACTGTAGCAAATTTGATCTCAGATGTAAGCACACACACACCCACACACACAAATGTATGTGTACACGCACACACAAACGTATGTGTACTCTATTTTTATTCCAATAGTGCATAAGTATGAGCACACACTTATTTGATACTGTTAGAGGAATCTATGAGCAAAATTGTATCATGTTTAAAGTTTCATTTAATTTGGGCACATCTAAACGTTTGGGTGCATATCCAGCACCCCCAACTGCCTGTACACAAAGGTGCCGGCCACCTGGCCGGAGGACGGTTGAAGTCCACAATTAGCACGTCAATGCAGGTGGGCGACCACAGGGGAGAGGGCGAAGCTCGGTCACAAAAGGGGAACGAATAATTCGGGAACCGCGGTTGAACAACAAAAGAAGAGTTGAGAACACCCGTCGCGCCCAGGTGACATTGCCCAGGCGCAAAGTCTGCAACATGTTAATTCGATGTAGACCAGACAGAAAAGGCGCCAACGTACTGGTGGTTCAAGTTGAAAAAACAGGTAACCAATCACTACCGAGGGGCCGGACCGGGGGTGCGGCATGCAAATATCGGGGGCAGTGGTTTTCTTCTATTTTGCATATGTTACAATAAAATGTCGAACTCGTGGAGGGCGGAACTCTGAGTGTGTGATCATCGGAGCAACTACCGTCGTTCGCTCTCAGAGATCCGCTCCCGCCGATATTGAAGACAATTTTCCTGTGTGCCGAGTCATTTCTTTAACTTTGTCCGAGAAAATCTCTGACAGATACTTCATATTGTCAGTGTAGAAAGAAAAAAAGGGAAAGAAATTGCGAAATTTACGATCAGCATTCACTTTAACTTACATCAATTTCTTGGATGATGTCTTTTATTTTGCTTGCTCCGTCTTTCATTTTGATCACTTTGACCCTCTCTTCCAGCATCAGAGCTCTTCTTGTCTTAGCTGCTTGACATCCAAATGTCTGTTTTGTCGCCATTTTAGCAATGCAACGTCCATCCTCGTCTGAATCTAACAAATACTTCCTGGCATGTAATGAACTTTTAAGCCAGCCACGGGAGGCTTCGTGTTCCTCGATGGCCACTGCGGTCAAGGTCGATGGCCATAGTTAGCTCTCGAAGGCTAAAAACCTTACGCTAATGAGCGCTCCAGTTAGCGTAAGGTTTTTAGCCTTCGAGAGTTAACTATGGCCATCGAGGACTACGAAGCGTCCCGTAGGTGTTTTTAGCATGATAACAAGTAAAGCGTTCGAGGAAATGTTCGTTTATTTGAATGTCTGTCGAGCCATAAGCAATTTACTCTGAGCAGCTAATCGGATGCTACGGATCTAGCTTCAGTATCTACACACATAGACAGTGAGGCCCCTCTTGGCCAATCGGAGGCCAGGATGATGCTTGGTAAGCCAATGGCAGAGCAGCTATGAGTATGTTGAGTCCAGGAAACTCGCAGCTGTGACCCAAAATAAACATCGTTCACTATGTAAACCAGTGTGGTGGTTGCTGTTGCCTTTTTTCGAACGAAGCAGTAGAGGTCGCTGTTGGATAAGACTTCGTTGTAGTGAATGTCTTCGCGAGGCTGGAGCAGACAAAATGATTTCGTATAACGCAACAGGGGGTTTTTCGTCGTATTAAGGGGGGGGGGGCGTCGTATGGGGGGCAGGAGAATGGGAATTATGTTAATGCATGAACATTTTTTCACATAAGGGGGTATTTTCGCCCATGTAGGTTTCGTTCTAGAGGAGTTTCACTGTCGTCACAAACCCCAAAAGTCTTTCATCCACCAGCAGCTTCTCATCATGGCGATGTGTGGTAAAAAGCTAAATGCTTATTTAACATGTCATACTAGCCTCAGGGCCCCTGGGATCACTTGGTGGTCAGTAAGGAAGGAGAAGTCAAGAAAGCATTTCGAGGTACTTAAAGGTGAAAGCGTTTTATTAGCAAGGAACTTTTTTATTTTTAAATAGACTGAAATAACCTGAACGTGCACATTGCCGAAAAGCTATTAAAAAGTGCTGTACAATAAACAGTGCCTGTCTGGGGACACTTTCACTGAAAGAGGACAGTACCGAAATTAAATAACCTGGAAAGTGCTGTAAATGTAAC